GGAGGAGCAGGCACTTACACACGTCACATGCGGTGATGGGAATTTCTATAAAGCTATTTTCTATTTGCTAAAACAATCGACTACATTACATATTTTCCGTTTTATATAAGCTGGTTTAAGGGACTATCATTAGTTTATTTCTATTAGATTTATTCACCCTATTTCTTTTAAAGTAAGATATAACTAATGTAGTCGATTTATATTGAAAATGCAACAATGTTTTATCGACAATCCAAATACAGAATTTCTATGAAATTCACATCTGCCCTTTGACTCAAAGGCACCCTTGGCAATGCTAGGATAAGAATACCTTTCAGGAGGCCACGTTATGTGAAATTTAATGGAACCTTAAGGTCATTGTTTGAAAATCCACCTACCAGTCCTTCATTGCCCTAACGAAATAGGACGGATAACATTCATATTAGTCAGATAGTTGGATAACTACTTTGCTACCTGGCAGCATGGAAAAGAGAGTCTGGAAGGCTTCCTTAGATTAATGAACATAAAGTTATCCTCTTTAGATGTCCTGGTTACTTAATAATGGAACAACTTTGATAGGGATGTATATATAACGTTCAAAATGGCTGTTTTCAAGCATTAGAAAGGCAAAGAAAAATGTTTGTTGAGAACTGTTAGGATTATTTGTCAATAATTTCTCAATACTCTCAAGCATGACGAAAATAGAGCACCATTTAGAGTAAAACAGGGAATTAGAAAACACTTTGTAAAGATTCATGATGCCATTGTCATGTCAGCTTTCAAAAAGCTAATTACCGAGGACAATGTATAAAAAAGACTATTATTTTTCTTATTTAAGAGGAACTTTAGACGCCCTCTACAGATCAAGTTGTTGGAAGGTTTTGAGCTCATGTGGTGGTGTCTATGTGAGGGAGATTTGTCGACCCATAAATAAGAGGTTATCAAAACATAAAACCTCATAGGAAGGTTTATTGGTTCAGAAATCGGAGGTGGGTGATCACTAGAGGACATCAACTAGAATGGTCTAGACCCAACGCTTTGTCGGATATGAAGACTTCACAAGTAAGCAGAAGATCAGGTAGTCGATTGAAATTACAAAAAAAGATGATTCTAAATAAGAAGAACGAGTGTAGGAAACTAAACTATCTCTGGCAACCAAGTCGAATTAGAGCGAGATCGAAGGCTGGCCATCGAGCAAGAGAAAAAAGCATATATGAATAGGCCGGGAACTTTTCTAGATTCGTTAGCTTGAATATGATTGTAAGGATGATACATTGTTCTTTAATGCCCATTCCATGTCGGACGAAAGCTTAGCATTTCTCGTTTATAAGTAGGACTTCGAGACTACACCTCATATAATGAAAGCTTGTCATGTTTCCATCGGAATCGAAGGAGATTGCCTCGCAAGCAGCGCCAACAAGAATGTTCCAGTAAAGCCAATCGTCAGCTGGTCAAGAGGAATCCGCCGTCGTCTTCTGGTGAAATCTACCTTCGAATCTCTTCACCAAACACTTTCACTTGAAATGGAAGTGAGCTCAAAAATGATGAAGCAAGAGAATCCTCGAGACCCAACTTTTCTTCGCAAGGCTTGATTAATCTGGAAGTACTAACTGACTCATGAGTATTGCCTACACACAATCTACACACATCAACGAACCTTAATCAGGCATCAGTATTGCAGGGATATTCACTAGCCTATTTACACAAGAAAAAGTTGTGGTCACATTCCCTACCCCTTAATACATCAACTTCACTCGTCTACATGTGCAAATGACAAGCACAAACCAATAAACTCCTCGAAACTCAACTTTTATTCGCAAGTACAAAGCAGCCAACAAAATCTTCGAATTCCTCACTAACATCGCAAAGTTATGCCTAAGACATAAATAGTATTTCAGCCGGCCACCTTTCCAAGTTTTGTCTTTTTTGGTGATATATCGTAGATTATGCTTTATGGCTCTGATGATGTCCATCGCATGATGGACGAATGCTCATCATGGAGACATTGGGGTCGCAGAACGGGGAGCCGATAACTTTTTTGCACGATCTAACCGTCACAAGTCAATGACAATCCTCCTTTAGTATCCGATGCGGCCAATTTACGAATCCCTGCTACCCTCCTTTTCAAAGGAAATGAAAGAGGATGGGTTTAATGAAAGAATATAACAATTCCGATAATTCTAACTAAATGGGTTATGGAATTAGGAGCTTCTTCCAAGAGGACGAAGATAAGGAAAAATGGAACAATTTAAGTTCCCTGAAGGAATGCTAGATTGTGTCTACAACTTTCATTGTCGAATCATGAAATTGCTTAAATCGGGCAAGTCCATGTGGTATTTGAAGACTCACTGATACAACTTTTGTAATATTTGGCTGAATCGTTCCACGATGGTATCATGACGCATGGTGGTGCAATCCTCGCAGTGAAAGAAGATAATTTTCAGCATCGCTTTATTTATCAACAGCTCTGAGTTCGAGAACTGGCAGCCTGAACTCTTCTGACACCAGTCGAACTGGAAATAAATAGGGGGGGAGGCCTAACTTCCCTGAAAACCCTATCCATCATGTTACCCAAATGATGAATTCTTATAGAAGTAAGTCTCCTTGAATTCGGGTAAACTCAACTTTCGGGCCTCTGGTGACCTTCAGTACTCAATCAGGATCGGTGATAATTTCTAGAGCCATCCAATCAGCGTATATTAATCCTGTGTCAGATACATCAACAATCGTGCATTATTCTTTAACTACTTTTCCAACACAACCATGGTATCCCTCAGGTATAACTCTGGCCACAGTAGTTGAACTAAAGTAAAAGTCCAGATTATCTCATTGCTTCATGATTTAGGAAAATTCTTTCGTGCCGTGTGATTGTGCCTTAAGGGGTTCGAGGATTTATTTCATCAGAAGGCAACAAATGTTTCTCATTGCTCTGAAGTCATTTGATGTCACTTAGTCCAGGAGGCAGCCTCCCTCCTCCGAGCTGAGATGGGATATCTTGTGCCCTTCTTCGACCTGAAAGTAATGGTTACATCAAACGTCCTTTAGAATAATGGGACTTGATATTGTCTTTTGGTGAGATTGACCTACGAATCTATCCTTCAGGCATTAGCACAAGAAGTAAAAGTCACCACAACACGGATTTCTCACAAAATTTATATTCGATACTTTCAATTATTTCTGGCTTGCGTTCAGTCCAAAGACCGAAAGATTTCAACGTCAGATCATTTAAAATTCGCATTATTCTAATCACCACTGCTTAAGCATACCCAATTTACTTTCTCTCAATCGTTTCATAAGATTCATAGCGATCTTGATGAATGCACAGAGTGTGATTAGGCCATACCAACAGCTCAGAGAACAATTTTCATTCATCCAGCTCTGCCTGACTTGTTTCTCGATCGGACTGTGGACTTTAATAAACATTTACCCTCTTTATTCCTTCTCTATTCTTCGATGTGCACAAGCTGGTAACAGCATGCACTCTTGCACACATGCGTAGGCCCGACTGCACATTCGCAAAATCGAATACACAAGTGGGAATCCAGACGGTATATTTGTGTGTGTATGCATGTGTGTTTCCCACAATTTCACAATAGACCCACTCACCAGATTGCCTCCAGACAACAACAGGGAGCCAGATGTGCATAAACTTCGGCGGATCGGAGACAGGAAATTGCCCCGGGCATAAGCGCCATCAGGCATATTTTCACTTGGATTGGCAATTTATATTGGCACGAGCGGCCAAATCGTATGATCCTCGCACAGAATCTCAAGCTCCAGAGGCCAGCGGTGACTCAGGCGACTGTTGGTATGAGCAGATAAAGCTGGAAAATAGCCAAGCTGGAAAGTTCACTGATGCGTGCAAAAGGGGAAAATAGCTGTTACAGTTTTGGGAAAACCAAATACTTTCTACAAATGCCAAATAGTAAGTCTGAATCCGTTAAAATATCAAACGTGGATAATAACAGGGATTGGATAGATCCTGGCTATGTTGATCTAGGGGTCAGACAAGATTCCTATTTCCCAGGTGAACAAATAACTGCATGACCAACTATAGTTTGATTGAAGATATGGTATAAATGTGATATTTGGCCGATTTCATTCCATGCAAATCTCTTTCTGTTCTGGTGCATCTTGAGCATCTCTCTCTTTCAGGAGACTGTTTAGGGTGCTCCGAGTATCTGCGTCGAGATTGGTTACCAGTCGAAATATGAAGAGAAGCTGGATTTCGAAGAGGTAAGAAGTAGATGGGAACTCAGTCGATCACCTTTCTTGGCTTAGTATTTTTTATGATTGTTCGTAAATAATGGTTTCTTACTCTGACGATGTCCGTCACATGACGGACGAAAGCTCGGCACCGATTCATCGGAGTCGCAGGACAGTGAGCCAAGGTC